CAGCAAAAATCAGGAAATACACAACAACACAAGTCTAAGGCAAAGAAGTCTAAGTATAATCCTAATGTTACTTGCAGCCATTGCTCAAAGACAGGACATGTAAGGGCAGATTGTTACAGACTTGTAGGATTTCCAGATGAATTCCAATTCACCAAGAGTGGAAATTTTCAAGGAACAGCAGTCAAAACAAATGTTGTAGTCACAGATAAGCACACTGATGGAAAGTGTTCTGAGGATAATGAGGGAATCCACAATAGTCAGCCACAATTTTTCAGCAAGGAACAGGTCTCAGAGTTAGTAAACATAATCAGGCAGGTGCAGATTGGAAATATAGCAAATACAAGCTCAGAAATTAGTGCAAATGCTGTTGCTGGTACTATACTCAAATATTCAGGGAAATGTCTTGCTGTTTTTAATACTAACACCTGGATAATTAATTCTGGTGCTTCAGAACATATGTGTTTTGATTCCAAATCTTTCCTAAATTTATCACCCTTATATGTGCCTTTACATATTAGTTTACCTAACTCTTTTCAACTGTTTGTCACACACATAGGGCAGGTTTGCATTCAGCCTGATATGATCCTAGAAAGAGTTCTTTATGTTCCATCTTTTAAGTATAACTTGTTATCTGTTCATAAGTTATGCTCTCAATTCAAATGTATCATCAATCTCACTTTTAGTGAATGTCTATTGCAGGTCCCTTTAATGAGGAGGGGACAAGTTTTTGGTGAAGTAAAAGATGGATTATATCTACTCCAGTCTAGAACTACAGAGTCTAGAATTCTGTTTAGTGAAAATGTAGTTCCCATTCCAAAAGGAAGAAATTCCAGTTTAGTACCTAGTAAAATTCCCTTTTCAATTCCAGTTGTAGCTAATGTTGTTCCTAATGTAACCCAATGGCATGTAAGGTTAGGGCATTTGCCCTTTTCAGTAATGAAAAAGTTCACTTTTGTTCATTTTCCTACAAAGTTTCATAGTGTGTGTGACATTTGTGCTAAAGCAAGACAGACTAGGCTCCCTTTTCCCATTAGCCAAGTCAGAACATCATCTCCATTTGACCTCATTCATATAGATACTTGGGGTCCTTTCAAGACTCCTACATACAATGGGTACAACTATTTTTTAACTATAGTTGATGACTTTAGTAGGGCTACCTGGACTTTTCTGTTAACAACCAAAAGTAATGCTTTTCCAACTCTGAAATCTTTCCTTTCTATGGTTGAAAGGCAGTTTAGCAAGAAGGTAAAAAGGGTAAGGTCAGATAATGCTTGGGAGTTGGGAAAGGGAACACAAGAATTCCAATTTTTTCAAGAACAAGGGATTCTTCATGAAACCTCTTGTGTGGCTACACCCCAACAAAATGGTGTAGTTGAGAGGAAACATAGACACCTTCTGGAAATTGCCAGGGGACTAATGTTCCAATCCAAAGTCCCTATCCAATATTGAGGAGAATGTGTATTGACTGCAACATTCTTGATAAACAGGTTTCCTTCCAAGGTCTTGAAAGGGAAAAGTCCATATGAAGTTCTGTTTGACAAGACTCCTACTTATGAGATTCTAAGGAGTTTTGGATGTTTGTGTTATGTGTCAACTCTGTCTCAACATAGGAGTAAATTTGATCCTAGAGCTAAATCTTGTGTATTCCTAGGATATACTCAAGGTCAAAAGGGTTACAAGGTGCTGGACATGGATACAAGAAGGGTATTTGTATCCAGGGACATCATTTTTCATGAAGAAGTTTTTCCTTTTCATTCACCTCACTCATCCACCTACTATCCACATTCTCCCACCTTCCCCACAGATTCTAGTCCTGAAGGTCCTGTACATCAGCAAGGATCTGAGGTCTCACCACAATCATCTAGGATACCTTCAACACCTACTGCTACTAGCCCTCCTTCTTTTAGAACCACACACCTCTCCCCTCACATTTCATCTGATCCTACACCACTCCTAGATGAATCCTTAACTCCTCCACTCACACCTATTCAACCAACATCCAGATATGTCATTTCCACACCTCCACCACCTGTCAGAAAGTCTGACAGGATTTCTCAGGCACCTAGTTATTTAAAAGACTATGTGTGCAATGCCATCATTCTCACTCATCTCACAGATTCCTGTTTCACTCAGCCAGCTACTCCTAAGGTTTTCTCTTTTGGGGCCTTATCTGCTACAAATAGACAGCTAGTTCAGTCCCTTTCCACTATCTCTGAACCTAGCAGCTATGCTCAAGCTTGCAATCACCCGGGGTGGAAGGCTGCCATGGATGCAGAAATTTCAGCCTTACAGCTGAATCACACCTGGGATGTGATGGATTTGCCTCCAGGAAAGAAAGCTTTGCCTTGTAAGTGGGTTTACAAGGTAAAGCACCATTCAAATGGCACTGTGGAGAGATTAAAAGCTAGACTAGTGGTGAGGGGGGACATTCAAAGGGGAGGAATTGACTACTTTGAAACATTTTCACCGGTGGTCAAAATGACCACCATAAGGTGTCTTTTAGCTGTGGCTGTGAAGAAAGGTTGGGAAGTGTCACAACTTGATGTGAATAATGCATTCCTCCATGGGGAATTGCAAGAGGAAGTCTATATGAAATTCCCAGCAGGTGTTACTCCACCCCAACCTAATCAAGTTTGTCTCTTGAAAAAGTCTCTTTATGGACTAAAACATGCATCTAGACAGTGGTATGCTAGACTTGTAGGAGCTTTGAGTTTTAAAGGGTACTCTAGTTCTCTAAGTGATTATTCTCTCTTTTACAAGCGAAATGGTGATCTTGTGTCTATACTAGCAGTTTATGTGGATGACATCCTATTAACAGGGGATGATGCAACCGAAATTCAACACATTACTGGTTTTCTCAATTCAGAGTTCAAAGTGAAACATTTGGGTGCTATTCACTATTTTCTAGGGATGGAAATACTCAGGGAAAAGCAGGGTTTCATTGTCAGCCAAAGGAAATTTACCTTAGAGCTGTTGCAGGAGTTCAATTCTTCAGGTGGCAAGATTTCTTCACCTCTTGATCCTTCCATCAAGCTTCAAGCGAATTTAGGAACACCCATGGCTGACCCAAGTCTCTATCATCACCTCGTTGGTAAACTCAACTACTTGACGAACACTAGGCCTGACCTCTCATTTGCTGTTCTCTCTCTAAGTCAATACATGCACCAGCCTTGTTCTTCTCATTTCTTTGCTGCTCAACGAGTCTTGAGATATTTGCGCACAGATCCTTCCCAGGGGATTCTTCTGTCCTCTTCTCCCTCTTTTGATTTGCTGGCCTTTTGCGATGCTGATTGGGCTGCGTGTCGTGATTCTCGATAGTCAGTCAGTGGGTTCTTCATTACGCTTGGTGGTGCACCTATTTCCTGGAAATCCAAGAAACAGGCTTCAGTTTCCTTGTCATCTGCAGAGGCTGAATACCGGTCATGCGTCGAGTAACTGCTGAAATTACTTGGCTTGTTCGCCTTTTGGGAGATCTGACTGTACAGCCTACCTTACCAATCCCTATTCATTCCGATAGCCAGGCAGCGATTCACATCGCTCGGAACCCTGTCTTTCATGAGCGAACGAAGCATGTGGACCTTGACTGCCACTTTGTTCGTCAACAATTTCTTTCTGGTTTAATTTCTCTATCCTTTGTTCCATCCGACTACCAACTTGCCGATCTATTCACAAAACCCTTATCTGGGGTTTCTCATCGTCATATTCTGGGCAAGCTGGGGGTTCATTCTTTCCCCTCCATCTTGAGGGGGGATGTTGACGATCAAAACCCCCATATTGATTCAAAGGAAGATGAAGAAACGAGCAAAAAGAATAAGAAGAAGATGAAGGAATAGACAGAGTATTTTCGGAGTCTCCAAGGAAGAAGATAAGCTTATGTCTGAAGGAGATCTATTTGATATTCATTTTGAAGAATACACGTGTCAAGATCAGCACCCTTTGATTCTTAATTATCAAACTCATCTGAGACATTGGTTTATAAAAGGAAGAATGAATCACAACCATTGATTCACAATGTTACACATTTCAGATGGGAATTTCACACGTGGATAGCACATGCATATATTACATTGTAAAGGAATAATTCTGTTAGTTAGTTTTCCCAATAGCCAATAGGATTTAGTACAAGTGTATACGAATTTTATTTACACTATTTTGTATCTATACATAGATTTGTATAAGAGGATCAAGCTGTGAATAAGAAAATACAGAGAAAATTTCTCAAATCAGCCTCTTTTCTTTCAACTTTTAATATTAAAGTTCAGCAGTTTGGGTTGTATTCATCGCTAATTTTTCTCTATGCGGTTTTCAGATTTAAGTATTTCTCTTGGTACTGCACCTTTCCTTTAATTTGTTTGTTATCAGAACAATAATGTTCAATTCAATGACCAATCACTTAGTTGAACTGAATAAAAAATGAAAGAACTTTTAGAAACCATATATATTTATCCTTAACTGGACTAAAAATATGAATTTGGTTCGAAGATATAGGGAGAAATTCAAAAATAGCCACATTTACAAGTGTTTATTCAAAAATAGCCACGGTTTCAAAAGTAATTGAAATTTAGGCACTTTTTATGTAAAGATAAATCTGAACGAAAACACTGTTCAAAATATGGAAAACACTCCAACATAATATACTGGAGTTCCAACATAAGTATACTGGAACTTCAGTATATTTTAATGGAGTTCCAACATAAGTATACTGGAACTCCAGCATATTATAATGGAGTTCCAGCATAAGTATACTGGAACTCCAGCATAATATACTGGAGTTCCAGTATAATATGCTGGAAGTTCATATACAGGTGCTCCAATCTCGAGTATATTATGCTGAAACTTTTCGCGTATTGTGCACAGGTGCTAAAGTATTTTTTAAATCTTTCTAGATATATAACATTTTAACCATATATACATTTTAAACTCAATTGAAACTTGTATATGTAATATATGTAACCTCTCTCTGCGTGATCTGAGAGTATTGAAGCTTTGCGCATTAGAAATAACACATTCTGCATTTAATTAATCAAAAAGAAAACACTGCTAATATTTTTCTTATTGAATATATATCAAGTGCTCAAAGTTACTAACATTTCAAGATTTTTATATAGCTTAACTAGACATAATTAAAGTGCTCGCGTTCTTTTCTTCACGAACAGAACACCACAGATGCAGGGCACGAAAAAAGAAATTATTTCCTACTAACATTCTAGAAATTGCTGCTTGAATTTTTCAACTTAGAACATTGAGAGCATAGATGTCCCAAACTTGTCCTTGGCTTCCTTGTCAAAGGGATCCTCACCTAAATACATGTAAATGTAGGCTCTGCACAGTAGTTCACTTTCCACCTTGCTCACTATCTCACCCATCACTGCATTTATTTAAGGTTAATAAAGTTAAATAGGCTTGAGTACTAGATAGCACGAAATTGATGATGATAACTAGGAGCATAGGCGGAGCCACGGTTTGAATCGAAATTACTGGATTTAACCGGATTTGCAGCCAACACTCTAGCTAGGGGTGTGCATTTAGTATCACAGAAATTTTTCAAAAAACATTTTCCATAAAAAAGTTATTTTCTGGTGTTTCGTTACAAAAAATTATTTTTCAAGAAAAATTCTATCAGGAGGGGAAAAATGACTACTTTCACTTATTTGCGAAAGTCATTTTCCTTGTATCTTAGACATGATATATTTAGTAATCTTCTCATAAAATACTCTCCAATTTGCTATTACAGTTGATCTTTAATGCATTTTTTTTTTTTTGTCAAAATACATTTTTCCTGAAAATATTTTCTTGAAAAAATCTCTTTTGATGTCCAAACATCAGAGTTTTACCTTTTGTCTGAAGAACAAATCCAGGAAGCCTAGAAATCTCGATGACTGATCCAGAAGTGAGCTTTATATCATCAGATGCTTCACCCATGATCCTAATATAAGAGTTTTGACATTAATAAATACAGTATATGTTTGATTACAATTAATTAGCTAAGTATTTAAAATTGTTATAATTAAGTAGTACTTTTTGGTTAGTTCTTCATTCTTGCCACCAGTGAGTTTCTTTATGGCTGCACCAAGGCCTTCATCAAAATTCTTTCTAACCATACTCATTGATAGCCCAGAAAACACTATTACCAAAAGCACCATCATCCCAAAATCACTATCAATTACCATTTGATACATTTCCTTTGTTGGTTTTGATGGTGCTTTGTTCCCAATCTTTGACTGCATTAGTTCCTTCATTTTCTCATTGTCTGCATATATTCCTGGAGATTCAAACAAGAAAATGGTTAATTTGGCTGATTAATGCAGTATTTGTTTCTAATCCCTATCAGAATGTGTTTAAAGCCGGTAACGCATGACCAATAAGGGTAGTGGAGTGGCAAGTACTCGTTCATCCTTGACCAGAGGTCTCGTGTTCGAGCTATGGGTATGGAGTTGCCTTTGTTAGGGAGCGCTTTACCCCCAACGTGGGATTGCCTGGCGCGAATCCGGATTTAATCGAGCCATAATACCAGTACCAGACATCGAGTGAAAAAAAAAAAAAAAAAAAAAAAAACTGGTAATGCATGCAAAATAGAGGGTTAATTTCATGTATACTACATTTTAGTAACTGTAGAAGTAAAGTCAGAAAACTACTTTTTATCCATTGTAGTAATTATCAAAAATGTCACCAAAATACTTTTGTCAACTTAAAATAAATAAATTTTACCCACCATAGCAGTAAATTAAAGTCACCCTGATGAGTATATTTTGTCGTTGTATACATTGGATAAAGTTGAGTAATTTTATTGTTATACTAGCTAAAGTTCAACTATATTATTGTGACAAAACAAAAATTTTGTGGCTTTAGTCTTATAGTTAATAAGTTCAGTTACTTTAATATAACCAAATATTATTTTAGACTATAGAGAATAAAGTTTAGTGAGCATACCTAAATAAAACTAACACAAATTAAGACAGAACCAAAAGTGAAGTTAATAATGTTTGCTAACATTATGAAAGATATATGGATTTAATTAGAAGATAATTAATTACCAAAGCCATATATCTTGAGGCCTATGCCAAGCATGCTTTTCTTCCTTAAACCAACAGCTTTCAATAACTTCCCATCTTGTAGTTTGACAGGAAAAGTAACTCCAGTTTTTGGTTCAGTCTCAACTGGAATTTCCTCCTCTTTTATGGGTTCAACTTGGTCACATTTCTCCTTCTTTTCCTCTTCAGTTTTGTCACAACCAGAATCCTCCTTTTTTGTTTCAGTGTCAGCAGTCTTTGGTTCAACTTCAGTACTAATCTTCTTTTCATCAATTGCAGCTGATTTATTCAAAGCAAGAACAGTTTTGGGGTCAATTTCAACTGCCTCAGTCTTTGTAGTGACATCTTCCATTGTGCTTGGCATTTTTAAGTTGAAGGTTAAATTAAAGGCAAAGAGGATAGTATGATGATATATTGGTTCTTGCTGTGGTTTCAAGTTTTAGGGGGAAAACGGGTTTATTTATAGTGTGAAATTGCATGAGGGGTTGCTGTGAAATACTCTCTCTCCGATTCACTTTAATTGATTTTGTGGCATTTTTATGATTCATAATATTTGATTTTTTAAGATATTAAGAAGGAATTAATATTTTTTTTTAAATTATCCTTAGAGTAAAGAACCTAGGAGTATTTGTTATAGTTCCAAATTCCAATAAACATATTAAGATTAATATAGTCAATTTTATTATTAATTAATGCTAAAAAAATGGATTACTTAATATGAATAAAAACGTGCTATTTGTACATCATGGCCCTTACAATTTTAAATTTAGAAAATGACCTTTTTAGATCTCTTACGTGTAAAAGTAAATCTTTCATGTGTAAAAAAAAGTTAGGGTCATAAAATTAAAAATAAATTTGTAAAAGGCCAAAAACTCAATTGACGGGGGTTTAGGCCCTAATGGCTTTTTACAATGTTGAATTTAAAAAAATAATCTTTTTAGATCTCTTACTTATAGAGATAGATTTTCCATATGAAAAAGCAAATTTTCCATGTATAAAAAAAAGAAATGGGTCATAATACTAAATATAAATTTGTAATGGACCACAAAATTAATTGATGTTGACGACCAAAAAAAATTAATTAAAGTGGATAGAAGGAAATACCCTTTTATTGATTTTCCCATGCAATGTAAGTACCCTCGGTATGAGCATTCGAGATAACGGAAGGAGAAATTTTCTTATACGTGTCATTTCATTTCATGTAGGTTCATTAACTGCTCACCTTGAATTGAAGGAGGCAGTAAATTTCAATGTGTGTGATACACATATCAAGGACCTGAGATGTTGGCTTTCATTGATTATCTCATTTAATTTCTTCATTGTGAGTGTTCATTCCAACAATATTTTCGAGGTGATGGATGTATTAATCGAACGGGATATGATGGATAGTAAGACCGAAACGTGGATGCATAACATGACGGGTATGAGAAAATGGACCCCTTGTGTCTACTCAATAAGAAATAGCTCACAAAAAAAATTGTTCAAAGACTAAATAAGGAGAAAATAATTTAATTTCTCGATCAATTTGGATACCATAGCATCTCATGCACGACCAAAAAACAAATAAAGCGTGGAACATAACTGTTTAACTAGAAAATAAGAATTACGGTCAAAGCTTAATTTTAGAAATACTCGAATTACTGATAATCAAGAAAAGAAATATTTTTGCAATGAGAAAGGAAAATTAGAGTATGAAATAACAAAGCAATCAATATAAAGCAAAAGTAAATAAGTGTATTCCAGTAATAATCAGAACGTATTCATACAAATGACATTTCTCTTCCTTTTATAGCTATTTCTAAGTACAACGTCTTTTCCCCCTCGTGATTGAGTCATTATGAGCATTTAATGACATTAATAAAACGTTATAATTGGCAATCGTAACTGTTTCGTGAAGACTCTGTAACGTTTCTAATCATTCATGCTCATTATCTGTACTTTTTGTTGTCTTGATTCATTTCACCGGTGTCTCTTTAAATTACTAAGAGACTCGAGCAACCGTTTCTTCTTGTCTCTTAGACGTTTTGCTCGTACCTATTAAAACTCGCATCTCTTTAAGTACTCTTCTCCAACTGTCACATTTCTAATGATCCACGTGTTTTGCCATGTCATCCACATCATTAATTCCACGTGTAATATTTATTTTTTCCAATACAGATAGTCCCCTCACTTGCCAATTATTCAGCAATTGAATATTTGGGAAGTGGATCTTTTTTATAGGGGGAATTTTTGCCGCTGTTTCCCACGTATCATTATACCTTCTTTTGAACTGATGCGCCGTATGTCACTTTCATTTAATGCATGTGACACGTGGCATTCATCGAATGGTTCTGCAACTCCGCAGTGGATTTAGGGCTTTTTTGCGGCTGCTCCAGTCACGAAGTGACAGTTTTCATAATGACGTCTCCATCATTACCTTTCTTGTATGACGGTTGCTTCTGCGTATAAATACATCTTTTACCTTTACTTTCACGAAAAAACTTTCTTCAGTGCTCCTTATTCACATCTTATTCTCGTTCTTCAACACGTTCTACTTCTCCGTACAACTATGTCTTCATCAAACCCTGATCCTCGAAAAGTTCTTATTGTAGACGAACTCCCTCTTGCTCCCACCAGAAGTAGGAGAGGTGGTAGGTTGCGTAGTTTAGGAGCAGTATATGTACGGGGTTCTTCTTCTCAACCTAGTTCTACCCCTCCATCATCTTCTAGAACTAGGGATTCTTTTTCACATAGATCTTCTACTAAAAATAGAGATTCTAGCGAACCAATTCCTGAACCTTCGGTTGATGAGATCATCCCTGCTGAACTTTCCTTCTATTCTGATAGAGAATCGATTAGAAATCAAGTTACTTCTATGACTTCTCATGATCGTGCTGATGTTTACCCCTCCCAAATTATTGAGGATTTGATTTCTGTTGTACGTAGAGACTGTCCTTGGAAATTTGATTTTCCAATTCTGGTTCCCAATGAAAACCAAAGGATCACTTCTTTTAAAGCTGACTTTTCTTTTGTGTATACATATCCCTTCACATTAGGTTTTAGGCCTCCTATTGACCTAGTCATTGTTGAGTTTTATCGTTTCTTTTATGTATGTTTAGGACAGATTGGCCCTATTGTATGGAGGGATGTGGCATGCCTTAGGTATTTGGCAAGCCTGGCTCAGTTACCCTTCAGCTTTTATCATCTAATCCATCTCTACTCTCCCAAATTATTCCGTCATGGGATTTTTACTCTCGTAGCGAGAAGTAAGAGAGTTTTACTTAGCCCTGAGGATGATAAAGATCGTGGCTGGTATGCCCGATTTGTTGCTGCCCCCACAAGTGGGTTAATAGGTGAACAAAACATGCCCTTCCCTGAGAAGTGGAACTTTGCACGTGAGTTTTTCTTTAAATCTTTATTTTCTTCTTTTTTGTGTAAAGCTTGTACTTCTCGTAACTGTTTTACTTTTCCCTTTCAGCAACCATTGGAACTGTTGAGGAGATTTCTGGTTTCCGTGGTTGGGTAGAAAAATTGTTAACAATTGCTCCTGTGGAAGTAAGGTCTTGGAAGTATCTTTCAAATAGATTTGGATGGAAGGTTAAGACTTACGGTAACTTTCTCTTCTACTTTCTCCTTTATCTTTGTTCTTATCTCAGAACTTATTAACCTTTCTCTTTATTAGGGTTTCCCATTCGGGGTGTGAGTGTTGAATCAATTGCTGCCTCTAGGCTTTCTTTAGCAAAAGCTCAGTGTCACGACCCGGATTTCCCACCTTCGGGAGTCGTGATGGCGCCTACTAATAGGAGCTAGGCAAGCCAATTAATTTAATACCTCTCTTGACAACATCAACAATATAAAGAAAGGCGAGACAATTAATATAAAAGAGGAAGTCTCAAAACATAAATAACTGAAACCAAGTGCGGAAGCTCAAATACATCTTTACCCAGACCTGGTGTCACTAACTCACGAACTTCTACAGAATGCTAAATACAAAGTCTGAATAAAAACACAATACTGTCTGATCCGATACAAAGGAAATCAAACGAAAAACAAGGATAAGAGAGACTCCGGGCCATGCGGACGTCAGCAAGGCTACCTCGGGAATCTCTAGACTGAAGTCAGCTCCCAATGCTCCTACTGCTGTCCAAAAGCTCCTGCTCCGGTAGTGTGATCTGTGCAAAAAGATGCACAGAGTGTAGCATCAGCACAACCGACCCCATGTGCTGGTAAGTGCCTGGCCTAACCCCGGCGAAGTAGTGATGAGGCTAGACAGGACTACCAATCAACCTGTGCAGATATATATATACAAACACTACAAAAATAACAGCGGAAAGTAATAATTAAGACTGGGAGGGGAACATGCTTTTGGGGATAACAGATAAAATAGAACGGTAGGAATAAATAAGGAAAACTGCAACTAATCTCTTCTAACACAGAATACGTGGTCGGCGTGCCACACGATCCCATTTCATGATATATAAGTGGTCGGCGTGCCACACGATCCCATTTTTTAATATATAACTGGTCGGCGTGCCACACGATCCCATTTCATAATATATAAGTGGTCGGCGTGCCACACGATCCCATTTCATAATATATAAGTGGTCGGCGTGCCACACGATCCCATTTCGTAATATATAAGTGGTCGGCGTGCCACACGATCCCATTTCATAATATATAAGTGGTTTCCCGGCAAGGGAACATGTATCAATTTAACTATCCCAGCGAGGGAGAATACAAGTAAACCGCTAGTTCCCGGCAAGGGAGCAACGACAATAACTTACACGTCCCGGCAAGGGAATAATTACATCTCTTTCTCTTTCGTTCATTTCTTACTTCCTAACCAAGTCATAAGTCGAGCCAACGCTCCAAGGAGTTTACAAGTCATATTTCCTCTTCATACTGTTCACATTAAATAGCAACCATCAATTAAACAAGGAAGAGTCACTACAGAATCCTAAATAAGCACAAATAAGGACTCACGGTCATGCTAGACGCCGGTGTATAGATACTCGTCACCATGCCTATACACCGTACTCCACATTTAGCAATTAGCAAATAATACTCTAATCCTATTCCCTCAAGTCAAAGTTAGATCAAACACCTACCTCGAATGCTCCAACTCAACTCAAGCCTCTAGTATAGCTTTACCCCTCGAATTCGGCTCCAACTCAGGCAAATCTATGAAATAATGACTTTACAATATTAACAATAGCTAAACCCAATGCCTAAATATGAATTTCTAAGCTTTCTTCCCAAAATTCCAAAAATCGACCCCGGGCCCGCTTGGTCAAAACACGAGGTTCGAACCAATTCCATGTTACCCATTCCCCCACGAGCCCGAATATACAATTTGTTTTCAAATTCGACCCCAAAACGAGGTCTAAATCAAAGAAAATCGAAAAGCCCTAACTCTACCCTTTTCCCCCAATTTCAACCCTAGATTACATGATTTAGGTT